TTCTAAAATGTAGTTTATCTTGATCTGTAAGAATATCTTTTAATCTCTTTGTATAGAATAAAGAAGTCACCTTCTTTTACAACTTAAAAGATTAAGTTTCTTTAGAGACAAATCTTAAGCTTCTCAGGTTCTTCTTTACGTATCTTTTCTTCGCCAACAAAATTAGCTTTTTATGGTAGAACCATTTGAAAGTCTTTATTGAGTTTGTTTCTAGAAAAAATGTGTGGGAATCGAGCTTCTATAGTAAGGCCATGAGGCAGCCTTACATTGTATCACAGATCGCCCCGCCTCTGGGAGCAAACTGTTGTTCCTACCCACGCCGTCCAATCAATCCCAGCCGTGACGTGCCCCAGTCGCAGCTAAAATTAAAGTTAAGTTAGGGTTCCAGTTACCACTTAACAGGAGGCAGGGGACAGGGGGCAGGGACAGGGGCAGGTGATCGGTTTGGGGCGGCAACACTTGACCAGTTATCAGCGCCATAAATCCCTAAACAATCCACTTGAGATTGAAATGCCCCAAACGAACGCCACCACCGAATCGAAGCCGAAATGCTGTCGCTGCTAAGTAAAATAAATGAGTTAAAAAGCCCACAAAAAACGTGAAAAAAGAACTCGAAAAGCGGCGATAAGCGACTGGAAATACTCGCTTTTACTAGGCACAACAATAAATGAGCCCGGGGAGCGGAAGAGGGGCAGTTCCTCTGCTTAATCACACTTAAGCGCAATTGCGGCTTTTGACCGATATTACGAACCACTCGACTAAGTCGCCATTCACCTAGACGACTGCGTCAGCAGGTCGAGATAGTGCCTAGTGCCGGCTTCCATACCCTTTGTCCGGATATTTTCAGGGTGTTATGGCACTCCACTGAAGTCATAAGCTGGCATATAAAAACTTATCACAAATGCGGATTAGAACTTTGCTTGGGTATGCTCTTGCTATATATCGTTTATAAGTAGAGCAGCGAGCAGTATATCTTGTGGATATATTTTTAATCCCTGCGTCACTACGAATAAGTATATTTAAATTACTTAGAAGTCGAATGTAAACAATTAGTAAAACAATAGATAATGAAAAACCCTCTAATTTAATCGTGGAATAACAAAGAGGGTATTAAGTAAGGGGTTTAAGCGTTTAAAACCCAAACGTGCGTGGTATTCCACCTGTCGAACCTTCAATTTCGCTTTTCCAATCTTGATTCTTGTTACTTTTTATTTATTTTTTTCTCCGTACCCCCCCCCCCCCTGTAATCAGTAATTAATTAAGATACTTTTCATTTGATAATTTCGACAGGCGGGCGAGGCGAGTTGAGGTGATTTTTGAAAATTGCGTTAGACGCGGGAGGGAGGCTGAGCGGGGCCGAAAACGGGGGCGTGGCCGGTTGGGGGTGTATCAGATTTACGAGCTGACGGGTCTCCGACTTAATTGTATTTGCTTGTCCCACGTCAGATAGATTCGGGCCTTTCTGTCTCACTTTTCCGCTAGCTGGTCGCCGTGGCCTGGTAATGCCTAGATTTATGGGCCAACTCATGATCAGATTGTGGAGTCGCCCCATGTGGGCAGGGCTGGGCCCCTTATCGGCCAAGGAATGCCTCAGTTAATTTATGGACTCAATATTTCTCCATTGCCTTTAATTAGTCAGGAATATATATAATCGCTCATAAAACGAGATCTCAATCTCCGGCGACTGCAACAAAGTCGCCTGCAGCCCGGTTGCCGATCATGCCGATCATGATGATCGTGACTGCAATCGCCCCGCTGGCTATCGATATCAGTCCCCTCCCCACTCAGTCCGAACCCAAATCGGAAAACAGCCCCGACTCTGGGGGACCTGCGCCTTTGTGCTTAATCACCCAGCGGACGGTGGACCTTTGAAGTGGCCGTTGGGGCCGCCGTGGGTTAATTGCGAGCCGCTCATTGGGTGGCAAATCAATTAAAGAGCAACAACAAACGCTGACTACAGATACAAATACATGTATGTATGTGTACGTCCAAGCTGGCCAACGAGCGGAGCCCCGTTCCAGGAATGTTATATCTCAAGTCCCCGGGAAGTCAGGTGGTCGGGCGGCCCTTTTTAACCTCGAACCCCAAACGGGAGCGAGAACCCATTTAACACCATGGGAATTTGGTTGTAATGCGAAATACCTGAACAGGTGATAATAAAAGTGAGGGATATTATTAGAGTAGAAGATACCCTTTAAAGAGCAGCATTTACTTTACAACTACGATAACTGACCAACCTCAATACAAACTCACATGGTCCTAATATAATAAGTATATATTATTCCAATTACAACAATAACTCTTAATCGATTTCATTAAAAACCTTACTCCTATTATGTATCATAAACTCTTAATTATAATAACTTGACTTCTTAGAAAACTTTTCTATTAATGTAAATCCTTCTTGGAAAGGTCTATAAAGATATAATTTATGATTCTATTGACTTCAAAGTCTTCAAACTATGCTAATTTTTATACAATAAATAAAAAGAAAGTAGACAATTCTTGTGGGAGTATTTTATAAAGCCTTTTTAAAAGATTTATTAAACAAAAGAGATTTCTTATACAAAAAGCAAGATACAAATTTATATACACATTTTGATGAACACGATTTCTTAGTTATGAGATCATTGCGTTGTTTAATGGGATTTAATCAATTTGCATACCTCTCAGGTCGAAATATAATAAGTAGAAATTAGGAACGTGTCCATAATTAATATTTCATATGAATATACAAATTAATAAAGACAAACTTAAGTTCAGAAGACCATTTAAAAAAGGTAAAAACTTGGCACAACCCCATCCCTGAAGTCAACTCCATTACTGAGTCATTATGGCCAACTCAAGAGTGAGCTGGCCCAAAGAGTCCCAACTTCACAGCAGACCACATTAAATGGTTTTTATTAATGATTATGATTATGCATACATTAAAACCCACTGACTTTGGGCCGCTTTGGGGCTTCGCTGCTGACGGGGCCCATTGGCCCACAATGTGAATCTGGCGCGCGCATAATGATTAGGCCAGAAGGTAGTAAAGGCTAAGGCAACCGAAGCGGGCCAAAACAATACTGGAAATAAATGACGAAAATTCACTTTTGAAATTCAAATCGAAGCGCAGCCAAGGGACTTGGAATCCGAATGCGAGTCTCCAAGTCTGAGTGGATTTCTTTGTATGCCTGGGCACGCCGGCGACAACTGGAAAACTTAATTAAAACAAACGTTTGCCAGCCGAATTAGCATAACAAAAGGCCCAAGTCAGCCAAGTCAGCCAAGTCAGTCAAGTCATCCACTCGGGAAAAGGTTGCCCGGACTCTTGATATTTTTACGCCGTTTTGGTTCTTGGGAATTTGCATTATATATAGATTTATTTACGCTCGGCATGCGTAATTTGATTGCCTTCCGACCAACTTGGGGGGAGGGACTGAGGCTGTGCGGAAATTGCAATTAGTCGTTAGAAAATGCCATAAATTAGATTACCGAGCGAAATGCGACTCAAACTTTGCGCCGATTATCGCCTGTCCATTCAAATATATATTTTTTTATATATATGTACATACATTAGCTCCGCCATACCTTCAGAGTTGTGTGTTTGTCAGTAATCATGGCTCTGCATAACTGGAGGCGAACAATGAGGCCATAATTTAAGGCATTATGGCCGAAATCCGACTGCGACTGGTCCGAGGCGGGAGTAATTCCGAAAACGTTTTTGTAATTTAATAAATTATTTATGTACTCGTTTCATTGGCTACTCCGGGCCTCAGTTCAACGTATCATTTTTATGATTATATTATATTGTTTGCGGTTTTTTCTCAGTTCTCCTTTTTTGAGATAATGCAATTCCCAAAAATATATTTATTTTCTTGTTCATTGGCATTCATTAGAGCTTTATTGTTGTGTGTGCGTACGCGTATAGATTGAATTCATTCATTTCGAAATTAAGTCTAAAATTTGTGTGTTTTCGCTGTTGCCCAAAAACGAGTTTGATTTGAACGCTGGGAGGAGAGAGGGTCGGTCGGATCCGTTGTTCAAGAACGCAGTCAACAAAGCCTCTTTTTTATGCGAGGCGCTGCGATAAAGGCGAACAATAAACTTGCCACATAAAGCATTCATAATTTAATTATATAGACCCCACACACAGACACGGGAGCGGACACAAAGGGGCTAATTCTTTAGAAAATCGCAGTTTTAATTTGATGTAATAACTTTGGAATGGAATATATAGTCGAAGAAACTTGCCTTTTTTTACTAGAGGTGAGACAATAGGAGGCCCTTTCTATTTCTTATAGAGTAGAGCCGCTTCTAAGACTCAGTTAAGCGAAACAATGGACTGACTGTGTCTAAATTTGTTGTGTATAAACTGCATGGCCAATTGAATACTACTATTGATTGCAATTAGCTGCCATAAAATCTATTATCGATTTGAAAACACCTTCATATACTAGGTTTTATAGTGAATATTAAGTAACAGAGACTTTGTATAAACCTAATTAACGTTTGTTTCAACACCTGGTTCTAGGTAAATGGTAAACACTGATCTGTATCTAGTTTTAAATAACTAGTTTACTTTATGGCTTAAAAGATACACTTTTACTCCAGAAAATTGGAAATCTATGCTATTTTTATTGACATATAAACAAGTGCTTGATGAGATAGGAAACTAAGAGCCATGTCAAGCGATCGCCGCCCACTCAGAAGGCGAATTTGAACTGTCATACGTGACTGAGGGTGTAGAGTTCGAGCTGACGCGATAGTGTATCTGTATCTGGCGTTCCGGAGAACAAATCGACTGCGATCGTGTCACAAGGTTTCCCTATCGCGGAATTCTCGGCACCCCATCTTCGCATGTGGTCAGCGATCCACCCACCAAGTCACGTCAGGGAAGCCACTGCCACATAGTGTCGATAATAATTCACGTGCCCCTGGCTATCGGCCAGATAAGCCAATACCAGATCCAGCTGCGAATGGGTTTCTTGCAGTGCTGGCAAATATTTGCCTTTAAATTCATTCACTCCCCGGCGGCGTGTGACGTGTGTGCTAATGCCGAGCTATTTATTAGCCGTATTTATTTCTTTGGGGGGTGCCAAGTGTTGGCCAAATTCATTAGACGAGCTCCAATATCTCGGGGAGTGCTGATGGAACGTCACGCGATTTTATTAACGCACTTAAGCGATCCCAACTGATCCCAGAGACGTGCGCAATTTCGCCGAATATGTGAAAGTCAGCGGATGTTTTAACCGCACAACGTTGTAAATAATTAAGTAAGCCGAATTAATTGGCCCAAAATAAAAAGGAAACGAGCCATATTTGCATATTTCTACAGAAATTCCATCAAATCGAGCTGAGACGAGGCGAAAAACATCAATATCAGTGGGAATGGCGTAATATTTGCTCATTGCAAAATCAATTAACAATTTCAGGCAAATTGATATTAACGAGTTCTCGAAATAACAACTCAAATAAAAATCCAAGCGAACTGCAGCCGCACAATATGGACACTCCAAACTGGAAAAACACGGGACGCAAGGCGAGGAGCTGGTACAAATATCGATGGCAGAAGGCAGAGCCTGGAGGGAGCAAAGTCACGCAAGTCCATAACCATAGGCAAATACGTACACAAATTCCAGCGAGGCGACGCTGCTCGAGGCAGTAATGGAAACAAACCCCGTTAATAATAGCTAAAATGTTTTTAATTAAGTGCAAATGCCAGATTAACGATTACAAGAAAAACACGTTCCATTAAAGCCAACGCAAGCACACACGAATAATAATGACACATGGCCAGATTTGACACGAAATTGACTTTGCTGCGACTCCGTCTCCGCCTTGGATTCCGAATCGGAATTCGAGTTGGAAGTGTGATTTTGCATTCGAGCGGAGACGGGCTAAGTGAACTGCGCCGCCGTCCGGGAATCGTGACAAGATGATGCTAATCCGATAGCAATCGGAATCGCTCTCCGGATCGTGTTGTAATTGTTGACGCCGAACGAACTTGATTTGATTAACGTTTCTTCTCAATCTTCCCCCAGCCACGACCACGGGGGAAATGGAGCCGGGACAGAGCATCCAACTGGAATATCGGGTTGTATGTAGAATAGCACAGATAGATAGGTGATGATTAGCTGGAATTATACCCCCAACTTGTGTACCCATTCAATCATACAGAAATTAAGGGGAAACATCTAGCAGTTTGCTTTAAAAACAAGAAAATGTAAAGCGAGCAAGATAAAATCAATACTTTTAGATTTGAGAAATCTAGAACAATTGTTAATAATCTCTCCTTGACTAATAAAATTTATTCATTCAAACTAATGTGATGGAAAACTAAACAAGATTTATTCACAAATAAGTATCAACTTGGTTCACCGCATTTTACACAATATTCAAAGCAAATTTCTCAATAAACAGATGGGGACTTTCAGAAAGACTCAAGTCGTCAGGAAATTCAACTTCCAGTGAAATATTTCAACAGATCTTCCAGCTGACAGCTACGATCGCAGTAATTCAACTCCATGAAGTTAGGTATTGTGACACGACCGATCGTTCCTATGAATACTTATGAAGACATAAATTGCTTCACGATATTTTTCCATCAATAAAGTATACTTACTGGGAATTCTCGCAAACACACACCTCATTCCGGGGGCGGCTATAAAAAGCAACAGTCAATGACTGAGAATCGCCATAAAAACTGTTGACACGAAATTCTTAGATCTGAATTTATACCCGGCCATCGACTATACTTATAAATCATCTTATAATAGCCGTCTTCAATAAATTAAATTCATTAAAAGCGGATTATCAGCTTAAGATGGGAAAGTTTCTGGGAGCGGAACACTGGGAGAACTGGGGCCCCAATATCGGTCGATACGAAGAACTGGGAGATCTGGTTCATTTATCTGGGCTATATGTACCTGGCCAACATCTGCCAGGGCCTTTGTCCGGTCAATCAGCCATCGATTCAGCACTGCGCCCCGGTTCCTTAATTACCTAAATCCGGTGCTGCGGAGCGTTACGCATTCGTCAGTACCGTCCACATGAAAGAACGAAATCTTAATTAACGCATAAACAATTTACGCGTATCTCATTATGTTCTGTTCGCCGGCAATCCATCTAACTTCTGTCTGTCTCTCCTCACCTTTTGTAGTCATTAAGGTGGCTTTATTTCCTCGGCTGCCATCGTTATTACTACTATTTTCGTCGACTGGGAAAACCATTCATAAATGATTAACGTTGCCAAAGTGCAATTAACATTGCAAACGAGGGCAGGGCCCCGCGGACGAAGAAGAAGGTCTGAAGGCCCAGACCCCACAGATACTCTTCCTCAACATTTTCCCGCCCCTCCTCCTATATAATCAAAGGCAAAACACAAAAACTGAAACTTCATGCGGCCATAAAAGCCGAATAATAATAATAATAATAATGCTTGTGCCCACATGGTCCGCTGTCTGAGGCGAGTGCGCTTAATTTTATTTCATTTTCCCATTTTTTTACTATTCGAATTTGGCCATATAAACATTTTTGTGACGCGCGGTAATTACGCTGAAAAACTCATTTGACGGGTCGCCCATTCAGTCGCCGTGTAATAAATCTCTCGATGTGTATAATTTGGTGTGAGTGAGCCTGGCCAACGCACGGAAAATCGTATCTTGCAGATACACCCGATTGCCAGTGCGCTGGGTGCACATTTTTGGATTTTTTACACTGGTAGAAATCACTAGAGATGTAAAAATATATGATAAGATAGTTTGAAAGCACTAGTAATATGATCGAATCATACCAAGTAAATAGTAAGAATGTACTTCATTGAATATAAATAATAGTTATAAGTCACTAGTTAGTGAACACTGGGAAAGGATCCTTGGAATATTTTACGAGTCGAGTCAGTGCTTCCTTAACACATCCGCTTACCTAATCAAGGCGTTTAAGCTCCAGATCCGGCTCGAAGGACCAGTTTATATTGCTAAAAGGATTACGTTTAGTAAATGGTAAGATTTTTTTTAATTCGAAACGATTTACATAATACAAGCTTATTTTAGATTAATTATTTCTCTTGTGCGGTTTATGCTACTTTTACTATTGAAAAATAAAGTCAGCTAAGAGAAGTCTCCTCTTCCTCCACAAAAACAATCACATACATAATTAATTCATATATATGAATCCATTATACTAATTTTAAAATTAATCGTTTTCTATGATAACCAATGGAGTAAAAACAGCTGTCCCTTAGAATTTTTCTCCGTGTACCTCTTGCACAACAGGCGGCTTAACACTGAGGATGTGCCAGAGATTTCGGGATGCGGATTGGATCGGTTCGTCTCAGTTGGGATCTATTTGGTTTCCAGGTCTTCGAGCTGCCCGCAGGCAGTCGGAAAAGTGAGAGGGGTTCGGGGTCTGCTGCTGCTGGCTATTAAGTGGAATGACCGGCCTGCAATCATTACTCATCCGAGGCTCTAGGGTTTCCTTCGCATTCGACTATTGTCAATGGCAAAACAATGGACAGACGCGGCTGGCGGGGGGCAGATAGCTGATACAGATACAGATACAGATACGGATAGGCCGCATTCAGCATAGACACAGATGCAAAAGAAATTCAAACACAAACTACAAGATACACACATGTGGGAAAGTATCTCTAAGTATATGCCACAATTTATGGCTTCCTACACAGACACAACGTGGCCCCAAAAAACAAAAAAAGGCAAATATGTATATGACAAGTCATAAATGCCTCAACCTCATGGACGCCGTTACAGCAACAGAAACATCAGGAGAAACAGGCGCAGATACACAGATACAGATACATTTTGTTGTTGTTGCGGCGAGCCGTAAAAAGAAACAAGAAATCGACTGACACATCGCTCAATAAACATAAATTATAATTTATTTAACTTTTGCACTTTGTTTCATTTAATTTTCAATGCTCGTTTCCAATTCGAATGGGAATGGAAATGGGATTCATTTGTTTATTATTTTGTTTGCTTTGGTTGCGTCGGACTCATTCTGTTCGGCGGAAATTCGATGGAGAATTCAGGCAATAGCATTTTCAGCTGGCTGGCTCATTAAAAGCCGCGCCACGCACAACTATTTGAAATATTTTAATTATTTTCCACTCATACATATGTTTTGGCATCTATTTGTGACTTCGTGGGCGTAGCAGGTTCTTCCGAATTATTATTATACATTTTTTCTAAGGCGATTTTAATTGCCCCGCCAGAGACCAATTGACGTCTGTTTTCGGGTGTATTTCTGGGGGCGGAGGCGGAGGATTTCGAGGCCCCGGATGATTGTGAAAAGCACTTCAATGCAGTGTTGAGTTCGCTCCGTTTCGCCTGAATTATGAGCCAGGAAATTCACAGCATTTGAAACACGAGCCCCGTGAGTGCTGATAATGTGGCACACATACCCGGAGGGGGAGGTGCCCTGGAACAATGACAAATACGTACATATGAGCTGATATTTCACCCTAGAGAGAAGGGGACAAAGTCCCCTGATTACTAACCCCCTCCCCCCAGCAAAACTCATCCGACTTTATTCAAGTTGCCCAAATTAATATTCAATTAATTTGCATTTTTATTGTGTTCGGTTCAGTTGTTGTTTGTTGGGTTTTTTCTTACGCATGCAGCCCAGTATTATTTATAATTCCTTTATATCCATAATATGCTACAAATTTATTCCGTTTTCTACCTCTTTACATCGTTATGTATACGAAATAATTATATTTATGTGTCGTTCCCTTTGGGGTATAAATAATTTACATGAACATTTTTTGGCTTCCATCGGAACATAAAGGTTTTTCGATACGAGTTAGTAGAGTGGCTTCCTACGAAAAAATAAACACCATAATTAATGCAAATGCTCTGCCAATTTCGGTGTGCAAAAGAACCTTGTTAGTCATACATAACGTAATTCAAAGTACGGTGCACAATAATTACGAATAAAACTACTATCACATTGAAATACACATACTTCAGATACATGCTCGGGAAACAATAGTAATTGCTCATTAAATATACAAATGTATCTACACACGCAAAGCGAGAATTGAAACAGTTTTTAGGGCGATCAGAAAATAGTTCTTCAATTTAACGAATTCCTGACTGTTTTGTTTGTTGTGAGGAGGTGTTGCTTTTGAGTTGAACAAATCGTGTCGGTTGTTGCCTTGGCAGTTCTTACTTAGCCTATCCTAAAAGTATATATTTGTATGTATTTAGCAGCAACGGAAATGCGGAGAGGAATTCCAGTAAATTAAGAATTATTTAATTGTTAATGTGTTCACAGCAGAATTGATAATAATTCATAGTTACGTTCGTATGTAGATTTATATCTCTGGTTAGCACTTTTTACGCTCGATAAGTTCTGTTAATTCAGCGCTCAAATCGCTGGAAACTTTTCCATTTCGCTGTCATAGTTAATCCGTGTGCCCCCATATCGGACCATATCGGATGGATTGCATATATATTTCCGTAAATACATACATTATAGTTTTGCTGATGGCCTAGATAGTGGTTATGCTGCGGCACAGGCGTATTGGTAGGTAGGTGTACTATATAAGATCGTCTATATCAATTTGTTTAGCTGGCTAATTTTCGCTTTACTTCGCTGGCTGATTTGTTTGTTTTAAGTCACAATACGGTTGGCTAATGCGATGTTAATGTGTACTTAAGTGTAATTAAATATAGGTATATCTGTATTCCCATGCATCCGATGGATACCCTCTCTCTTTCTCTGGGCCCGTTCGTGTCTTCGGCTGGGGGAGACCCAGTTTCGAGTGGGGTTTAATTGCCCGGCCAGACAGACACGTCCGAGCCACATACACACTTCCTCCTTCAAGCCACATCCCCTTCCATATGTACACACACAAATTGGTATCTCTGCCCAGTACTCCTCCCTTCCCCCTTCCCCCCAAGACATTTGGCTTGCCATCTGACATATAATTTTAACTTGTTACATTGTTTTTCGAGTTGCGTTTACCTAATAGTTTTCTTTATGTTTCGCTTTTCGTGCTTCAAATGTGGCGCATGGAAATAAATGCGATACAGTGCGGTTCAGAAGGATAAGGAGTTTGAAAGAAGTGAAAAGAAAAGACTCTAATTAAGATGGGTAACAGCTTTGCCATTACCATTTCCTTCCTAATTAAAGATTAAATTTGCATTTTTGCATTAAATCGATTTACTTGTTCGCTGTCATTGAGTTTATTGTACTCTTCAAATGATGAAGCTGCTTCCTTATGGCCTTGGAACGCACTGTACCCTAGTAAATGCTGCACTTAGGCAGCTGTAAGCGTTAATGCCTCTTAATTGTTTTTGTTT